GGAAAGTATAGGAAGTTTTTCATTACCTATTATATAATTATATAATTTATATTAAACATGATTCTCCTCTTTGACAAAAAATACAATTCCTTAATATTGTCACATTGATGGTTACGTTTACACATTTCTTTGTGTTTCACATTTGCATAAATGCCCTTACAACCGTGGTGATACTATATAAACAAAACAACTCAAAGAACCTTCTAATTTATCATATCAATCATAAACTATCTCTTCTGTCTATGATTTACACAAGCTAAATATTAAGTTTTCTGGTATTGATTTGTTTCTGATATGAAGCATTTTCATAAAAATGATTTTTATAGCTATTGTCTATGTATGTTAACTAAATCTTTCTCTTATTTTTTTTATTATAGAATTCCAAACAAAGCATATTGAAGGAAATAATCCTATTTTCTTGGTTCTTAAATTAGTTATTTGAGTTGTTTACTTATTTTTCTTTACTTTCACATTTTATAATTCTCATGATGCTTTGTTTTGTCTAAAACTCATATGTAAGATATCAATTATTTAAGTCTATGTTTACATTTATAAAGAAAATAAAATAAGTATGCTTGGATATGTACAAATAATTATACAAGGTGTTAATAATTTCGTAATTAACTAACCTGTTATAACGTTCGATTTCTTTGTTCACCCTCACCGTGAAGTGTTGGGTGGCAAATGGCTGGATCAAAAATACATTTCTTTTAAAGAGCTGTCTCTCCTCCTACATTTGTAGTGTATAACTATGTGGTACAAAATTGAACAATACAGAAATAGAAATTATAAAAAGATGTTATTAAATGTCAATCCTTACAAAGACAAAAGAAACAATATACATTTAGTGTGTGTTTTCAGTATAGTTTATCTAGCTTGAATAATTTTATTATTCTTTCTTTACTCCTTTGATTAATTTGGATACAAAGTCAGAAGATATTGAAACGTGTTGATACGCTCTCCAACTATTTCTACATGTTATGCTTGGTATGTGTTAAACATAAAATAATTAGTTACGACAGGTACGCTTTTAATATGAAAACGAATGGGATTTTAGTTGTACCTAAACAAAAAATGTTTAAAGGTATGGGTTTCAATTTTGTAATTGCAAGTGATTATCCAAGTTTTAGATCATGAAAAACATATAAAATGACCAAAATTCATTATCGTTTTGTTTAATCTTTGGTAAAACCACACTTATTACACGAAAAAGACAAAATGATACATGTTTTTATTGTCAATTTTCACTTTTCAGTTTGTATATTATTGTTTAGATACAAATTATACATAAAGAAAATTAGGTTAATTTTCTAATATAATATTAATCTTACTTCGCACAAGCGCGTGGGTTTAAACCTACGCGGATCTTAACCTAGTAAGTAAATAAAGATTTAAAACACTAAAACAGGGTTGATCAAAACTGTTCTCATTTTTTTTTAATATTGTCTAAGGGCAACTCCAACCATAATACCAAATTTGGTTGGAAATTACATTAAATTTGATATTTTGGTCTCAAGTTTTTTTGTCACTTCCAACCATGACCAAATAATACACCAAAAATAATATTATATATTATATATGTTTTAAATTTTGAATAATTTTTTATTTTTATTATTTGTAGTTGAGAAATAATTATTTTATCACACTTAAATATTATGTTTGTTAATTTTTCTACATTTATATTTATTAAAGTTATTTACATTTATATTTTGGTTTAAAAATATTATACATTTTATATATTTATATAAAATATTAAGTATATTACAAAATTATTAATATATATTAGTTATTGAATTATAGTTTACTGATATTTTATTTTTTTAAATATAAAATAAATGATAATAGGTATTTAGTGATTTCTTACTTGAAAATAAAATTTAAAATATGGAAAAAATAATTTAAAATATATAATAATATAATTTATTTAGATTTAGTTGCAAATTTGAACTAATTAATAATAATAGTTGAAATATATTAAATAAAATATGTATATAAAATATTTGATGTGATGAATAGTATTAAACTAAATTTGGTGTAACACTATCCACCCTACGCTAAATTTGGTGAAATGATGTCATTTTTAATATTTCATTAGAGATGAAATTACACCAAATTTAATGTTTTAATATCCTATATAACAACAAAAATTTGATAAATATGATCCCAGGTTAAAAACATATGGACCCAAGTCCCACGTGAATATTTTTATCTCTGTCTTTATTTTCTTTTTGTATCGAGTGGACTTCTGTTGATGTTGCGTGCAAAAGTATATCGAATATATTGCCCCCACACAAGATCTTCTCTTACAAAATCTTGTCCAAAAATGCTTTTTAGGGTTTTTCTCGTCGGATTCTTGTTCGCCGTTCACCGGAATCTGATATTTCCCCGGGTGCCAGTTTTTAATCCCCGACAAAGGGTACTAAATGTGTGTATCAAATAATATGCTTGCTTCAACAATTGTGTCTTCTCTTTTATTTTATTATTTCATGCTTTTTATGTATTCTGTCTTCCAAATTATTCGATGAACTTACTCAAAAGTTTTACGCTAACACACTATAGTCAAAAGTAGGGTTTTCCTGTTGTCTCAACACCACAATTTTAGTGATGATTTTTCAATTAAAGCGTTTACTAGCCGATAGGTATTAATATGGTTTTTAATTTGATTACTATTTTATGTTAATTTACTTTTCTTTTCTTTTTTGACAAAATTTTTTATGTTTATTTTCACGAGCATATAGATACATCATACATGTAATAGTGACAATGAATTCTACCTTAACGATACTAAAGTATATCAAAAGGAAACACTCGATATATTTTTGCTGTTTTGTCCATTCACATTTTTTGTCCATTTTCATTCATTAATGCGTTGTCCACTTTCATTTTTTGGGCATCAATATTGAACTGCTGTCCACTTTCATACATATACGTTTAAGTAATTACTCATTGCATCGTAAATTATGTGTTTTTTTTACTGAAAATTGATAGTAAAAGATGTGTTATTTTAGTTTCTTCTAATATGTATGAAATAGATGTAATATCAGTTTTTGGTATATATGAAGATGATTAAAAAATTGATTTGGTTATCTATGTAATCAACATTAATTTATTTTTTTGGTTACATATTCATTTAGATATCCAGGACCAGGTTTTACCTAGAATATTGAAATGATAGGTGCTTACCATCGTTTAAGTGAGACAGAAACATATAAAAGTATTAAATGGTGTTTAGATCAGTAAACAAGTCTTTTGAATCTCTAAAAAAATTAACGCATCGTCTATAACATAATGGAGTTTACATGCCGAGAGAGCATACATGGTAGTCATTAACCATGGACGGTCGGAATATTACAAGTGGTATCTGAGTTAAAATTTGTATGGACACTAATATGAATAACGATCTTAGAGTGTAACGAGGATATTGGAATATGTGAGAGAGGTGAACTATAATATCTTGCTTTGTAATATATGGAGAAAGACTTAAAAGATCTGATTTGACCATCTATATTACCATAGTGAATTTACCTTTTCGATCATACATCCATTTAGAACTTCGAAATTAAACATATTTTACCTAGAGTAATAAAAAGATAAGTTATCTATAGGAAGTCATTCACAATATTGCAAAAGTGAGATCTAGACATAAAAAGGTTATGTATTGATTGTAGAATTAGTAAACAAATCTTTCGATCGTTGGGAAATTAATATACTACCCATAACACAAAATAAAATCTACGAATTGAGAAAGCAGATCTGGAAAGTCCATACTAACCGTTGCTGTCAGAATGTTATAATTTACTATTTATTTACTTTAAAAAGAAAAACTAAAGTCGCTATTTATTTTATATGTGTTTAATTTTTAATTTAGAAAAAAATCACAGCTTCACGTATATGAAAGGTACTTTTGTGTTAATCATCGCAATTTGTAACATCTAAGATTTTTACTATTGAAAATTTTAATATGTTTAAATGTTACTAAGATATTGTCATTGCTTGTTGCTACGAGGACGATGATGGTCATTATCACCATCAACGTTATTATTGTTATTATTGTTTTTTATCTATTTCTTATGCATAAAGTTCATAGATATAATAGGATACATGATTCAACAACAATAGCCACTAAACTAAGCAAGTTGGAGAAATTAATTAATAAATTCATAATAAAACCAATTATGATTGATTTGGGTTGATAAGTCGTACACTGGATAGCTTAAACAAATATTACTTTAGGAAATTTAAAAGAAGAGTATATATCATAACAGTGCGTAAATAGCCACATCAGTGACCAGAAAAGAATTGATTAACAAACCAAATATAATAACAAACTCAGATTATTTTTGTGTGAAGGAACGAGAGCACCTTCACTTGGGTCCCAGCCATTGAAATATATTCTCTTTTTTTTGTTTGATATAATATATAATAATGTGTACTAGTTGTATTTATGTTATTACAAAGTAGATATTTGATTTTCTTGTGTATGTCGCTAAACTATTTTTTTCCTAGGATGATTACAAAGAAAGTCTTAGAAAGTAACGTGTCAACATAACATTAACAAAATAAAATCTCCAAAAACTAGTATATGAAAAAAGAAATAGGTTGTTAAAAAAAAAACTCATTAGTTAGATTTTCTTTGATTGTCATAGTGGATAGATTGGTCATGATGATTTCTACATATATAGTCTGAAAGCAATAAATCTTTCACATTATCTTAGAAATTAGAAGATCTATATCTCAACATTACAATTTCTTGTTAACAATAATTTTAAAAAAAATAAAAAAAATCCACAAGGTACTTTATATATAATTGTCATTATAATAGTACATTTAGAAAAAGATGGATTAAGGTAATATATTTGATATTTTCAGTTCTTAAAACATGTGGTCCCATGGGAAACTAAAACATTATTTTTCAGAAAGAATATTATATTTCATCATTACTCAAAAATATATAGTTCTGATTCAATAAACTAGTACTGAAAGCGTGCAAGGTTTCAAGTAAATAAGATGAGGATTTCCCTACTCGCATGATATTATCAAAATTTGTTGACACTATACATGTATCATTTTATCTTAAATACTTCTCAGTACATATCTCTCTTGCGTTCCTTTACTTTAGTGTCTCTTTTAAGACTTGAATTTTCTTATAGCATTAAAGAAACACCAAGAAAAATCAGAGTTACTCCTAAAAATGTCATCGGATCATAACACACCAACGAAAGATCCACTGAATCGCCCATCTTCTTCCTCCATCACTCACAAGCAACCACTTCCGTCTCAACCGCAGCCGCAGCAACCGCTCAGCCGCTACGAGTCTCAGAAACGCCGCGATTGGAACACGTTCATCCAATACCTAAAATCGCAGAATCCACCGTTGATGATGTCTCAGTTCGATTACACACACGTGCTAAGTTTCCTCAGGTACTTAGATCAGTTCGGTAAGACCAAAGTACATCACCAAGCTTGTGTCTTCTTCGGACAACCAGATCCGCCAGGACCGTGCACGTGTCCTCTCAAACAAGCTTGGGGAAGCTTAGATGCTTTGATCGGAAGGTTGAGAGCTGCTTATGAGGAACACGGTGGTGGGTCACCGGATACTAACCCGTTTGCAAACGGGTCGATCCGGGTTCACTTGAGGGAAGTGAGAGAATCTCAAGCCAAGGCTCGTGGGATTCCGTACAGGAAAAAGAAGAGGAGGAAGATTAAAAACGATGGGGTGGTTGTCAGGAACGATGTTGCAACCTCTTCGACTCATAATCAGTCGTCCACTTGATAGTTTATCATATGAAATTTTCCGATTTAGGTAATCTATTTTGAAATTCTCTTTTTTTCTTCTCAATCTAAACTTTCATATGCTCTTTTTAATTTGGAACTATTCTCTTTGAATAAGTGCACCACAAAACTCAAAATATCAGATCAATAATAGTGATTGATTCAATAAATTTCTGTATCATTTATGTTGTAATTAACCCTAGTCATGATTTCTTGGAATACATATATACGAATGCTAATTTGGTATTCCAGATCACATCTAATAAGGGGTAAAATACCGAACATGTTTTTTTTGTTATCAGCTCTTAGAGTACGTCCAATTGTGAATGGTATTTAATGACATAAATTTTCTGTGCGTTGCATTGCATGCATCATGATGTATACTTATACACTGGTACACATGTCTGCAATAGGTCAATAATATTTTCTACATTACATATATTAAAAATTAGTTATATATGTGTACATGTACTAGTTGTCACAAAATACGAAGTTTAGTACTTAGATTAGTGTATATGTATGTTGCTATATATTAGCCATAGACCATAGTATTTATTAAATATAGGCTTGGACTCTGCTAGCAATGAGTACTAGCTAGGATGATTATAAGATACGCTTATTTTAATAAAATACCAAAATGCTCTGTCTCTTTATATATGATCAGCTCAATTACTTCCGCCCATCTTATGATCTATTGAAAATGTTTTGTATTTTGTATCTCTAAAGTGAAGCTTTGTATAATATATATATATATATATATATATATATATTTAGAACTCAACATTACTATTAAATCATGTCGTAGTAAACGATAAACGATATGCATGAAATTCCATCTTATGATCTATTGAAAATGTTTTGTATTTTGTATCTCTAAAGTGAAGCTTTGTATAATATATATATATATATATATATATATATATATATATATATTTAGAACTCAACATTACTATTAAATCATGTCGTAGTAAACGATAAACGATATGCATGAAATTTAGGGTTCTAAGGGAGGAAGAATATGACTTTGAAAGGATCTCATACAATCATAGATTTGACTAAAACATAAATCCAGACATTAAGCTACTAGGAGTATTATTCAATAGTCGCTTCTTAGTTATGCGCTACTTAATAGTTGACTCTGAATTCTGTGTGGATACCTTGTGTTGTTGAAACATGTTTTATCAGATTGTTTTGGAAAGATTGAAGTTAGTGTCAGTCAATTACATTAAACTCCAACCATAATGATATTACAAATTTTGAATGCCTAATGATTTGAAATAAATAGAATTAGATCTTCATGAGTGTACTGAATTTAGTATATACTGAATTTGAGAAAAATTTGCTTGTGGGCGCTGAGCATATATCATTTGGACAGTACAGTATAACCTCTTTAAATTAATAATCTATAAATTAATATCTCTATAAATTAATATAATTTCATAGTCCCAAATTGAATTTTGGTTCAACTAATATCTCGATAAATTAATAATCTCTATAAATTAATAAAATTTGTAGTTTTGGTGTAGTCCCAACATTATTAATTTATAGAGGTTTCACTGTATTACTATTTCAGTTTGAGCTAGACGCGGCCATTGGGCTATCTTTCTAATATGCAGTAAATAAATCCACGGTATGATTTTGCGAAGAAATGAATAATTTGAACTTTCTCTTTTGTTCTGTTCTCGTAGACAACAAGTATTGTGAAAAGAAAAAAGAATTCAGAGACTACGAAATGAATGTTCCGTCTGATATGCTAACTAAATGTCTACCTGAAAACATGTTTGAGAAAAGTCTCATAATGCTGAAAATCATCAGTTGAACGCTTGAGAATGTACTATGAGATGGTAATGTTGTTGGCCATCTCTTCTGAAGGGGGTACATTCAAAACAAGATAAAATGTTAATTTTGGATTCTCGGATAAACAGTCAACAAGGAAACTTAAAAGTCTTAAAAGGCGAATACTTACTTGGCGGTAATTGAGTGTTTGTGGAAGATCTGCAACTTGTCGATATCTGACATATCGGAAACAAGTTAAGGTGTGAGATTGAAAAAGAAGTCAAAAGGTTCTGAGAGGTTTTTGTGAGGAAATCAAGTAAGAAAGAAGACATACAGTGTTTTTTTATTTGAAGCTTGGAAGACATACAGTGTTGGCAGCTGGTATCTGGAGGTTTAAAGTTTGGAGGAAGAGTAAGACTTGGAGAGCTGAGAAACTCAAACTCGTAAATCATGTAGTTTTCTATGAGAAATATATCATATATGCATGTATGTTATAAATCCATTGTGTGGATTGTCCATAACCACATGCTTCACCAAGTACAAGAAGAGGTTTACACCAGACCATCTATACCACATCCGGTCCGTCCACGACTCAACCATGGCAACACATTGAACCGAGCCAATCCGAGTCCGCCCGTAGAGGTTCAACCAGCCGGCCATGCCTTAGTCATCTAGCTTTCTCTTATGCACAATCTTATATAATAAATGTGGTCAAAGGTGCATTCAATGCTCCAGATATTTTGTCTCTTGTAAACCCTTGTTTCTCACCACTATATAAAGGTGGTGATATGCTAATGAGAAGATACAACATTCCTCACATCTCTCTCTCTCTTGCAATCGAAATGCTCTCTCTTTCTCTAGTTTTAAAACACGTTATCAGCACGATGACGCTCTCCAGCTGAGTTCTTCCTCTCCACCGGCGATCTCCTCCCCGGCCAGCTCCTCCGGCGATCTCCTCCCCAGCCAGCTCCTCCGGCGCTCAGCCTTGTAACCGGCGGCCACAAAAGTCTTATTTCGGCCGCAACTTTAAACGATCATATCTCCCTAACCGTAAGGACTCAGACGCCGAGCCACATATCATTTTGAAGCTCTTGACGAGACGAATCCAACGCCGCAAACCGCTCGTCAATCAGATCTCAGACGCGCTCTCAACGCCCGTTCTAAGCCGACGGCCAGTTTTAAGAATTCCGGTCAGTTCTTGAGATTTTCGGCCAACTCTTAGCCTCTCTCGACCACCTCCATCAGCGGATCTCCTTCCCTCTCACGGTGGTCCATCCAGATTCTTTGCTGTTCATAAGGTAAACAAAATCAAACCTAAGAATCTAAGAGCACCTAGATCTTTATTTCTAAATTATGGATCTATATGAATCCGAAAATAATAAGAATGAATCAATAGATCCAAAACAATCTCTCATGCTGTTCTTCATTCTAGAACATTTGATCTTGGTTTTAAAATTATTTTGGAGCATTAAAACATATTAAAACATATAAGGATCTATTTGAATCCTCATATTCCTAAGAACATCCGATCTATAAACCCGGATTGTTCAAGGATCAAACCTTATGAACTTGTTCTTTGTTTAAATCCGCAACACCAGCTTGAAAAGCTTGGTTGTGTAAGCTGGCAACCACCTTGTCCCTAAGCCACAACCGGCTTACGTCTAAACCCTTTACCGGAAGTGATCTCCGGCGAAGGTCGCCCACGGCCAAACCCTTTTCAGGCCGGGCTGTTTGAAAACGGCTAAGTCAATACCAAATCTATAATTAAATGTTAAATCATTGCATATCATTGACTACTTAATGCTTCAGTTTTGTAACTGAAAATATTTTGTAACCGAAATTTTAAAACTTAAATTCGGAATTCAAAACTCAAATTTTGTAACCATTTTCATTAAAAGCTTTTACCAAAGTTTAAATGACAAGGTTTAAAGATAGTAACCGATTTTTATTAATGACATTGGACTAAAGTTTTGTAACTTATAGTCTAAAGTTTAATTAATCATAAGATAAGATCAATTCTCTTATGAAATCATTTGACATTATTTGTCAAAATATCCAAGGTCTAAAACATCTTTGAACGATTTCAAAGGATGATTGAAAATCAGATATGATTGTTTTGAATACAAATATTTTACTAGTTAGTATTTACTAGAATTGGATATGTATTTTGATGGCCATTATACATATCCATCCCTTAAAGCTATTTTCAAAGCTAAAACCTTAGAATCCAAATCGGCCATGATCTTTACCGATCAATGAAATTTTCCGGCCAAGTCTCTTCCGGCCATTAGCATTTTATAAAACCGGCCACAAGCTTTCAGCCTTAAACTCTTCGGTCAAACCGAATTTAATTTTTCAAAATTAAAAGGCTTATTCATTACAAACCATTGACCATCAATGGTCTGATTTTGTAACTGAAATTTTTCAAAAGGTTTTTATGATCTCCTAAATGCAAATTCAATTGCATACCTTTGACCATAAATATTGATCTTTGTAACTGAAACTCTATGGGTTAAAGTTTTCTAGTCAATGCAAATTCAAGATAAATTTTTCAATGCATTGATGATTGGTCAAAGTTTTAAACCTTATGACTTCATAAATGATTTCAAAATGAATGCATAACTTTGACTAGGTATATTTTATAACCTATAGTCCAAATGCATAAGTCTCTTTGAAATCTATTTTGACCTTATAAATGTTTGTCAAAATAGATTCTATCCTTTGAAGGATAATGATTTTTCTAAAGATCGTTTGAAACTTGAAACCCCCATAAAATCTGAGTTTTATAGATCAAGTTTAGATCATCCGTTTAAAACCATAATTTCGGATTTATGAACACTTTATGTGTCTGACCAGATTAATCCTTGAAGCTTAGAAATTCTAATTTCCAAAATTAATCATACAAATGGTCTTGAAACCCTTAATAAAATCAGGGGGATAATTGGGTATAAGATTTAATTAATCGTTTCAACGAATGAACAGACAAATGGTTATGTGATCTAATACACCCTATGGTCCTATATATATAAAGGCCGTGTGACATTGCCTATTGTCACACACTTATCTCATCATTGATGATTGATATTCTTATTGATAAGGCCTCAAGGATCACAAATTTATTAAAGCAAATAAAAGAAATTTATTAAAGCAAATTACCAAAGTTTATGTAGATGTTCTGGGATTCTTACTTGAACAATCTTGCATTGTTCGGACATATCATGTCTCTCAGAATCCTGATGGTACTTAGAAAATGTACCACTTTATACTCATGTCTTTGATTATGGTCTTCAACCAAAATTTTCTTATGTTCCTTTTCATAATTTATGGTAGGCTAATATAGATCATCATTGTCTAGGCTACTTAGCTCTTATGGCTATGCCTTATATTATGAGTATAGTATTATATGCCATAGGCAATTTTACACATAGATCATATTAATGAGTAAATCA